ACAACCAAAAGCAAAGATGAGAATACAAGCAGTGACAATTACCACATAGAAAGGTGACAAGATCACCACAGCATCCTGTGAAGATGAACAAGAAGCAGAAGTGGAAAGGATGCTACAAGAACCCTCCGTCTACGACAATGAAGGTCTTGATCCATTGAAAGTACAACAAGGAATGAAGAAAGAAGCGCATTCGATGAAGTCACAAGGAGTGTTCACAGAGATGAACTACAATGATGTCCCAGAAGAACACAAGAACAAAATCATAGAGTCCAAATGGGTTAACAAACCCAAACAAGATGAAGTACGATGCCGCATAGTAGCAAAAGGTTTCCTGGAAACCATCCAAGACCTTGACAACATCTATGCGAGCACACCAATCTTTGGGATCTTGCGTATCCTACTGACAATGGCGCAGCGCAACCACTGGACAATACAAGCAGGAGATGTGTCAACAGCCTTCCTACACGCACCAGCAGCGACAGACAATCTCTACATGTGGCCACCACCAGAACTATACCCAAGTGGTCACAACACAACCACAGTATGGAAGCTCAACAAAGCAATCTATGGACTACGATCAAGTCCAAAATCTTGGCAAGATCACTTTGCACAAGTCCTGCAACAATTGGGACTGTCTCGACTCACAAGTGAACCCAACGTGTACAGGAACAATGAACAGACAATGTTTGTGATGGTCTATGTGGATGACCTACTATTCCTGGGACAACAACAAGAAGTCGACAAGACTTTCAAGGAAGTACAAAAGCATGTACTACTACGACCAACCGGCACATTGGGAATTGGTCAGACAATCCAATTCCTTGGCAGAGACATCCGCAACAATGGAGACTTCTTTGAGGTGAGCCTCAAACCAGAATACATCACCACATTGCTGAAGGAAACAAAAATGGAAGCAAGCAATCCAGCATCAGCTCCAGGGACGGCGACCCTGAAACAATCCACAAACGATGAGGCACCTCTAGATGCACAAGAACATGCAGACTACAGGAGAGCAGTGGGAAAGCTTCAATGGCTGACCTACACAAGACCAGACATCAGCTTTGCAACAAAAGAACTGGCGCGAGACCTACAACAACCAACACAACAAAGCCTGCGCAAGGTGAAGCATCTTTTACGATACCTCACAAAACACAACACTACAAGATGATCCTGAGGACAACACACACGCCGCAAACAAAGGAACCCATCGATCTCAACATTTATGTCGATGCAGACTGGGCAGGATGCCCAAGCGCAAGAAAATCAACAAGTGGATTCATCGTGACAATGATGGGATCAGTAGTACAATTTGGAAGCAGAACACAAGCAGTGGCAGCGTTGTCATCAGCAGAGTCAGAACTATATGCTATAGGAACAGGAGCGCAAGAAGGACTACACATAGCAAACTTCATCAAGGAAGCCACAACAACAAAGGTGAACATACGCATGCACACAGACAGCACAAGCGGCAAAAGCATTGCAACACGAATAGGCAGGCTCGTCAAAGAAAGCAAAGCACATTGACCTGAAGTACCTCTTTATACAACAACTGGTACAAAGTGGGGTACTGTCAATACACAAACAAGATCAGCACACACGACAACCCAGCAGACATACTGACAAAGTATGTCTCGGCAGAGGTGCTTAACAAACACCTCTACATGGCGGGCATTCAATGCCCACAACACCACAACTGAACAGCGGCCGTACAAACAGTTTCACAACCATGGCAGCACCAATGTGCGTGTACAACACACACACACGGGCGCATCAAGCCATGGCACACTATCTTAGATACTATGTGCATACTATGTCATAGACAATATGTACTACAAGATCTTTAGTTTCACAATGGGCCCGACCTTTCTTTCGTCGTTTCGGAGTACAATTCGAAGAACAATGTGTTTGAGGTTTTGCATTTTGAAAAGGAAGACAATGCATGTTTTGGTTGACAATTTGTCAACAATTCCTTTGACCGCAGCCGCCTTCAGGCTTACAAGCTCAGACAATCGCGAACGACTGCATCAAGGACAACTTGAAGGGAAACAATGACTGTGGAGATGACGATTCCAGACTACCACAATCAGCGTCGACTTCCCACAAACTCGACAATGTCTTTGGGGGAGGACCGAGCAGTCCTATACAATGAGGACGATATGGAAAAGTCAGAAGACGAGGAAGAAGAAAAGAAGACAAAACGTCCCAGACAATCCTCGGAGGCCCCAGACAATCAGATGGATGACACGGAGGGCTGAGACAATGTCTCAACAATCTGCAAATCTCCAGCTGTGACAATGCCATACGAGCACAACGATGAGAAGGGCAACAACACTGGAGAGACAAGGCAGAAGAACATGTACAGACTTGCCTAAATGCCCGAACTGTTTATGTACAATAATGTTCCTTTACTGTTTCAACAATGTTTGTATTGATGGTGTGACTCAACAATCAATCAAACCAAGGGACGGTGTCAAGAGACAAGTTCTTTTACAATAGTTCATTTACTCCATCGTACTGATCATGTACAATTGCTTGGTGCTACACAATGCACCTTGGATCAAAGGCCTTGAGCCTAGCCTAGCTGAGCCTAAGGACAGTTGCCAGAGGAAAACAATACAGAGACGCGCGCAAACGAACGACAAACAAACAGCTGCTGAATTTTACATGAGTGAGTGAGTGAGTGAGTGAGGGAGTGAGGGGAGTGAGGGAGTGAGGGAGTGAGGGAGTGAGGGAGTGAGTGAGCGAGCGAGCGAGCGAGCGAGTGAGTGAGTGAGGTGAGTGGGTGAGTGAGTGAGTGAGGGTGAGGGTGTGAGAGTGAAAGTGAGTGTGGGTGTGAGTGTGAGTGTGAGTGTAGCGAGTGTGGGTGTGAGTGTGAGCATGAGCGTGTGTGAGTGAGCGCGAGTGAAAGCGAGTGTGAGTGAGAGTGAGAGGGAGCATCTGAGAGCACAAAGTGCTGCGCCTGCCACGAAATCTGCACTTCGAGGTTCACGGAGTGCTGTGCCTGCCACGAAATCTGCACTTCGAGGTTCACAAAGTGCTGTGCCTGCCACGAAATCTTTACTTCGATGTTCACAAAGTGCTGTGCCTGCCACGAAATCTGCATTTCGAGGTTCGCAAAAGTGCCGCGCCTGCCACGAAGTCTGCACTTCGAGGTTGACAGAGAGCTTTGCCTGCCACGAAATCTGCACTTCGAGGGTGCGGTGCCTGCCACGAAATCGGCGCTTCTAGGTTCACGGAGTGCTGTGCCTGCCACGAAATCGGCACTTCGAGGTTCACAAAGTGTTGCGCCTGCAACGAAATCTGCGCTGCAAGATTCACATGCCGCAGCCCTGCCAAGGCGTTTTGCTGCAAGAGCGCTCCCAAAGACGACATGAAGATACTCAAACGCAGCTTTTGCGCGAGAGGTGGACCTAGGAAAAACTAAAGTAACACAAATTTTCAGGAACATACGTCTTACACAGCGTTGCTGCAGATTCCTACTCCTCCATCACTGCAAACTGTTCAGGCTCCTGATATTCCGAATGATTTTGAAACGCTGCCCGAGCGTCCAAAGCCAGATCGACCCGCTTCTGGCAATCTTCGACACGCAAGTCAGCATGCTTCAACATTGAAGCGCGAGTGGGGCATGTCAACGGAAGCGTCCCATCCAACAAAGCATGCTGAAGTGCAATCCGACCACCAAGAGCACAACGTGCAGCCCCTTTTCACAGGAGCACGCGATGTGTGATATCAAAGGAAACTCTTGCCGCTTTTGGCGTTCTCGCAGGCGAACTCGACGCGTCCATATCGCCAGCCCATCCGAAGCGCACAACGTTTCAGCCATCATGCGCAAGCTGTTGCAAGCTTGCCCTGCAGGCAAAGCATCACACTTAGCACATGCCATCATGTATTCGTGGGTCTTAGCACATGCTCATGAACCCTTATATAGCATGTTTTGTTTGATTTTGCACAGAAAAATACAGTATTTGGGTAGGGAATTTCCCCGGAAATGTTCTCGTTTACCTTTTAGACAATGGTTTCAAGTAACCAGGACCAACAGGAATTGTAGCGACGGACTGAAAGTTAGAATGCGTTTTGACACCGGGCAATGATTGGGTTGGGCACGCAGGGAGGCCTTATTTGGTAACATTCTAAGTGTCAGTCAGTGTCCTGGAGTTAGAATGTTTCAAAAGATAGTTAGGATGCTTCCAGGGTTGTGGTGTGGTGTGGTTTTGATGATGTTGTCATGCGGCTCAGATGAAGCATAGTGCAAGAAGTGAAAAATGTGAACATGCCAAGGGCTGAGAATTGAGAGCATACAAGAATCCATATGGTAGTAAACAAATATGTTCTCCTCTACAAACCAGTGTGTAGAAAGCCTTTGATGATCGAGTGCATTCCATCTGCACCACCAGTGAACAATAGCAAGTATCCAGCACTGTCAACTTCATCAATTCATCAACATGGGCGACCTGTCGGGAGAGTTGCTCTCCTTGGGTCCGGCAGGCTGCACTTTCCTCCTTTGGCTGGGGCTCTCTCCCCGTCCCATTCTCTTTATATACTCTCCCATTCACTATGCTCCTTTTGCTTCTCCTTTCACTTAGGAAGTGAGCTAGAATGGAGGGTGTGCCCCCTTCAGTCAGGCAATGCGGCATTTCCCAATCTCAGACCAAACCTGCTCAACTGCTGGGGCAGTCCAATCTAAAATTATATGTGTACGACACACATACATATAATCCGACAGTGACGGACTGAAAATTTAAAGGGGGCACCCCGCATTCTTACTGGACGTTTTTTCTCCCTGCGTGCTGAACATTCTAACTGTACATGTTTCTTTTGCAACTCGCCGACCCATTCTAACTTTCAGTCCGTCACTATAATGGTATTTTTCATGCCGCTACTTTTCCTGGGGATTTTGTATTATTCAGTGTTCCTGCCTGACTTCCAGTACAGACGGGGACCATGAACGAATCAGACAGCGACATGAGCAAATGGCAACTGTTTCGCCCAATCTCGAGCAGGTATGCCTCGGACCGGTTTTTCAGTGAGATGCAGTCGCCCCAAAGCGATCTGAGGGATCTGAAGGGTGCGGATTTGTGCTTCTCAATGAAACTACATCTTTGAGGCTGTGTTGTACGATGGGAGGTAGGCATGGTGATTTTGAACCATCGATGATCTCAAATCCCCAACTCATCTCCAATCATGAATCACGACCTGGCCGACAGCACAGACGATTCCTGAGTAGAGGGGAAGAAGGTTCTCAATTGACAAACTGAATCGGAATAGTTGCTGTGCTACGAAGAGAGTTCTCAGCGACTTTGAAGTGCCAATATGTACAGAAAAAAACGGCACTTCGGGCCGACTTCGGCTGAGAGGGTGAGAGATTCCTGGTTCTAGCTGAGATCAATGAATCAACAGTTTAGGATTGGAACATAGAACATATATTCCATTCTGGGTGTTGCTCGGTGTTCATGTCATTAAAAGACAGGCAAACCATGCAGTGACAAGCGAAGCGCCAGAGGATCCAGCTAAAAGAGAGGCAGATGGAGGCGGTGTTAATGTTGCCAGTGTGCTCCAAGCTTGACCGTGATAGGGAATCGCTGACATTGTGAGATTGAAACCAATTGAAGGTGGGCGACTTCAGCGAACTGTTTGTGCTCCAACTATCTCCAAAGTCTATTGGTACTAGTAGTGCTCTTCCAGAGCACTCCGAAACCGTTCTCACTAAAGTCCTATGATGGACACATGAACGGGAGACCTTTGACAGCTTGGACCGATAGGTTCAGACCTGGATCCAACTCGTGTGATGTCGATACTCGACATGCACTGTTCTATCCCAAGCCGCTGATTGCCCAGTGCAGTTGCTGCTGGATTTTAGTCGCCCAGGTGGCATCTTCAAGACACTGGAGTCCTACGGAGTGGGGCCTGCATCTTTATATAGTTTTTATGTGAATACCTAATACCTTCTTGAGACCCTTGTGAAAGTTGATGATTTGAAGCAGCATCCAAAGAGCTGAATCCTCAATGTCAGATGAGAGTTTTTGGTCTTTCGCTCCTAAAGATTATCGTTCAATTGGCACTGCTTGAGTCAAAGTGTTGTGATGACAATTTTGGCTGCTCATTCACTTCTTTGAAAGGCAGCTTGCCCAATGGACTGGCCAGGTCCCTCATGTCTTTGGTATTCAAGGAGGATTTGGTGGGCTGCCAGAGGAATCCAATTGGGCCGAGCTCACGGCTGACTCCGTCCAGGAGCAGATGTTCAGGGGAACACTAACACGAACCACCAAGACTGCAGAACATGCAGAACACTATATAATTGAGCACAGCTTTCGATAGTTTTGTTGCAGTCTGGCACACGACACAAGAGTTCATTTCCAAATGTCGAGCTTTGTTTTAACAGCGGGATAATCCAACAAAAGCCACTTGAAGCTTCAATCCAATTCAAGGCTTGTTCATTCACGTTCATTCTCTTATGCAGATCCCGTGGTTGTAGGACATCCATAACAAGCCTGGCAGCATTCTTGCGAATGAGCGCGGTGATGCCTGGCGGGCCCAGTTTCATTCTTCTCAAGCACACAAGCGGATGGATGTTTGAGAGCTAACTACTGTACCTTGTTACTAATAGCTTCTTGCTACTAGTAGCGATGCCAAGAGGCCCTAGTAGCATCCCTGCTCCTAGTAGCAAGGCCAGGAGCCCCTAGTAGCTTCTTGTTACTATTACTGTTGCTTTTAGCTGCTAATAGTACTGCACTTGTTACTAGTAGCGATGCCCTTGTTACTAGTAGTTTCTTGCTACTGGATGATGAAGAAATATGCTGAAGTAGACATGGAAGGGCAAGGAGTATCCCTGTGTCAATCACACCAATCCTGTCTCATTGGCTTATCAGGCCAGACACGAGGAAATGGCCAACATGCTGTTCCGGTCGGGGACCTGGGATACTGAAATGGGATTCAGTTGGTCCAGTGTCGCCTTTCCGAGTCGAGGTGAAGGTAGGCAAAAATGGTGGACGAGAAGTGCTTTTGTGCACCCAATTAATTCTATTAAAGTAAATGTCTAAACATGTCCAAACTCTGACGGGGTGCACCATTCATGTCATTGGAGGCGAAACTGCAAGCAGCTCTTCATTCTGGGTGGTGATGGTGCGCATAAGGGTGCCTTGCAGCTGGCCACAGTTTGGGAAGCCAAGAAAGATGAAGGTTTTTGTGGATGCCAGACTTGCCAATCACATCACCCCCAATAGTTCTAAGATGTTACAACTACTCAGTCCCCGCAGCAAGCTAGTGGAGCCGGAGCGGGCCCAAACCAATGTGGCCAAGGCCTTGAAGGCTATTGATCATGAGTGTTCATTGGCAGTCGCCTCAGTCCTGACTTGGGTGCAACCCATCTCGCTAAGTATAGCAGAGTTCAGGGCTCAGATGACTGCATGAAGGACATAGATTAACGATCTTGGCCACAAAGCAATTTGTGCCGTCAGCTTGGGTGCTTATATGCATTGCGAGTGTGAGAGGGGTGCATAAGTCATGCAAGCTGGGTCTTCCACTAGAGTTTAAGATAGAGCATTCTCATGCCGCAGACGTGGAACTACAAAGAGCATCAAGTGCCGCCCATTGCATGGCCACAATTGGCTCAACAGGTGGCAGTGCCTTGCACTGTTGACAATGACCTCATGATGGTGGACACAAGTTTTGGCTTTGACACTGCCTGCACGGAGGCGTTCAACTGCAGATTGTGAGGTCGAATCAGAAGCAAGGTCCAAGGTCCTGCCAAGGGCCCCATTTAAGTGGGACCGGGTTTGGGATGGTGAGGGAAACTTCTGGATTTTGGATCTTTGAGTAGAAGAGGATGGAGGCAGTGGAGCTCAGGCAGCTCATTAGGATGCAGTGTGTTCTCATGTTTCTTCAGGCTCGAGACTGCATCAGTGCTGCCTACGTGGAAGCGACCTGCAATGCCAACTGCATTGGCATGGTGCATTTCTTAGATTAGATTTTCTTAGCCACCGTAGCATGCAAGGAGCGCAATCATACAAGGCATCGCAACTGACAAAAGACTGCATCATAAGGTGTCCCCACAGCTAATCCATTTTACACGTTGCCATGGTAGGACTGGTAGGAACTGATAGGATGTTCATGGATTTTCATGCTTAAGTTGCACACGTGCCGCCGGTGTTGCAGGTGAAGCTGCTGGGTGCGGGCAGCGGTTTCCTGGCCATGAATGCAACCATGGCAGCTCGAAATGTGGACCTATGCCAGGTTCCCCAGCATAGATCCAACATAGACATAGCAGTTTACCCTCAGCCGTATTGGAAACTTTGGATGAGTGCCGTGAGTAGGACTAGGCGGACTTTCATCAGATTTGCACTTTCCGGCCTCATAGGCACCAGCACCTTCCCAGGTCTGCTTCCTGAAATGGAAATCGATTTGGAGAAGGCTTAGCCACGCACAGTCGAAGATCCTAGGATGGGGGCCAAAACAGGGTCACGTGTGGCTGTACTGCTGAACAACATGTTATATACCGGGAAATTGCTACTATGAAATTTGCAGCGTGTGTAGGCTCACGGAAGCTTTGTGAGTTTGCTGGATTCGCAGTGGATGAAGTGAACTCAAAGGGCGAACTGCTGTCAACAGTCGGGCCAACTCCTGGAAGACAGAATCCCCGCATGCATGTTTGCTTTCGCAGAGGATGATGCGTTCCTGTCGGCGAGTGGCAACAGGTGTTGACCCATTGTGAAGAAGTCATGGAAGCGAAGGGCCATGCAGTGATTGTTGTTGGTGCCCTAGTGCTGCTTTGTGATCTCTTGTGCAACTCCATGATTCTTTGCGGATCTCCTTTCCTGGGGCCAATTCAGATCTTATCAGACTTCTTGATGACAATTCAGGGCCGTGGCATCATATAACCTTTTTGCAAACAAGACCTCACGGCCCTACATGCTTGTAGAGTAGAGCACATCTCAGGTGGCTGATGGAGCGAAGCAATCCCTCTTCCGCCTTGCCAATGTGCCCATGGAAGGTGCAGCATCCGGGTTGCTTTAACGCGTGGTGGGAGCTGCTTTTCTCGTGATACTGAGCAGGCGATGTCGGTATTTGGCTGAGGGACCAGGTGCTGAATCGCTTCAAGGAGCGACATTTCTGATTGATTTTTGGTGCAGCTTCATCTCACCTGTATATATGCCGCAGACCCAATTAATGAATTGAACACTTGTTAATTAAGTTTAGTCCAAGTGGGAACGTTTTGTTGAGAAAATCACACCAAAAGGGGCAGCAATGACTCTTCGCCCACGCTTTGCCCGCTTTGATCAGTGAAAGTGACTTCCAGGAGAAGAACAAGCCCTTGACGTCTCGAGCCCGGTAGCATTGTTGATTTTTGCAGCAACAGGTCGAAATGGACAAACTTACGGACGCTTTGGAGCAGGTATGAGTAGATTGCCAAAAGGGGTGTCATGACCAAGCAAGCAGACTCGAAGACGCCCTTCTGATGGTTTTAACAATCATGTGGCCGCGCACTCTGCTTGCGCATGCCAAGCTTGCTAAGGATCAAGTATATCGACCCGACATACATGGTAAGAATCTCAGGAGACTGATCATGTCAGAGACACATCTGCTGTGGCGCGAGTCCGGAGTCCAACAAATTCCATTTCTTTTGCGAATGGAATGGATTCGCTGTCGGATCGGATGTGATTGATTGGCACCAGGGTGCACATTAAATCAAAGTTGCCTTGCTCAATAGATGGTTACCTTTGGGGCTGCTGTTATTGCATGGCGTTTGATACCATTTTCCACACCTGGTCACAAACCAGTAGCTGTGTTTGGAGCAGGTGCGCTCGGTGAAGGCCAATGCATATGACAGCGCCTATGCCTCCGCGCTGGCCGAGCACGCTGTGCATGCAGCCATGGCGGGGCTGACTTGCGTCTCGGTGGTGCCCCACTCAGGTCTCAGCTTGGAGCGAGAACTAAGAAGAGATGTTGTTGTTTGATGTACCATATGATATATATATATATACATGTATATACAGCCGCACACGATACTAGTACCATATTAGATATACGAGCCTTTGTCAAAATGCAAGGCTACACGGCTACACTTTGGTGCACAAAGCAGTATTCACCCCAATAGGTCCCATGTCGTTTTTGCAGAGCACTTGGTTGGACAATCCCTCAACAATAACTATATAAGTATCCATGTTTCCGATGGCAGCTCCCAAGGTCAAGTTGTACAGCAAGACAGTCTATATTCCAATCCATGCCTGCCCAGACCTCAGCCGGTAGGAAAGGCGGACAAGTTTCATGAGGCCTATGAACATGAGAATCGTGAGTCCTGAAAGGACTGGAACGGAACCAGCGCTCGCGACACGGCAACATTTGAACATGTAGATACAGTGTGAGGTGGTTGATTTTTGCCAACAGCCACGAGGTGTTTGGACCAAGTGTAGCACAGCCACATACAAACCATGCTATTCCGCTTCAGGGGCACTGGTCCATTCACCATGTTGCGAGACATACGGATGCAAAGGAAC